GTTCGTAACCTAGCAGCCTCACACAAGATGGACAAGAGACACAAGATTCTATCGGCAGGTTGCTTTGTTTTGTGTGGCTATGGGTTACAACATTAGGTATCTTCCTCTACACATTAGCGAACCTCCTCAAACTGAACTTTTATACAATTTGCCATCAAAGGCCGGCCCGAGGCCTTGCGAATAGGGGGCGTATCTGATTGTGTTCCTCTGGTGAAGGGCTCAGTCAAAAACCGTAGCCTTCGCGCAGCTCGACAATCCATCATTCAGATACATGCCTTATCCTCTCCAATCTTTTTTACTCCAAATCTAATCACTGCTTCAAACATTAAAGGCTATGATTAATTGCAGAATATGCAACTATTATATGTAAAGGAATCGATCTATGCTCCTTCAGCAATGCGTGTTTAGGCCGTTGCTTCTTTCTTTCCAAAGTTTTACATATTCATATTTTGCAGCACTCAAAAGAACTGATTGTAATTTCCCTTCGAGATCACGTGCTTCCCTCGTTCTCCTATTTTCCATCACTGAGTGAGTTATAGGAAATTCTCAGTGTGGAATAATTCATATTGTTTGTCATTTGTGCTCATTCGCCTGTCATCGTCACATTAGCTAATGTACTTTCCCATTCTGAATGTCGACATCGTCTTTCTAGATCGTATCCTGCAGTGGATGGCTAACTTTGAGTTTGCCGTCTGAAAGATATGAAATCCAGTACTATGCGGTTATATGTGACTCATGATTGGACAACATGACGCCTAAAATTGTTCGACGAGAGCTGGTGTTGGACCACAACCTGCTTGTATCGGGCAGCGACGATACGTCACCTACTAGTGCACGCTCAGCTGGATTTTCACCACGTTCGTCGTCATTTGTACGGGAATTTTCGCCTTTGATTCGGAATGCAAGTGTACGAATGAAGGAAGGGCTGAAGGCACGGCTAAGCGAGCCGCTCAGGGAGCAGTTGTCTCGTTCGATGACACGACTGAATCCGAAAACTAGAGACCAGCACTGGAAACCAAATGGTATGGTTGCTGTTTTTATCACGATTTCCAGGACGTATTCCCACTAGACCGTGCTAAATGACGCACATTCTGAAAATTCTGATGAGAATTCACATTTTATACGTTAATGAACAGGAGTCTCGATATAACCATATCAGTCACTTGTGATCATTACTTGGGTGTAGTCTCAAACGTTCCTCAACCATCATGGTTTCCAAAATTGACTTAATTAATAAGATTCAAAAATCTGAAAAGTAGCTATGCCTCCTTTATATAGAGGGAGTTATTATTCTTATGCGCCCGTAAGGAAATGGTGGTGCAAATCCATGCCCCTTAAAAAGCTGGCGTGGCGCAATATCACTGTCCAGAGATCGAATCTGGGACTTATTTGAGTAGCTGTAGAGTCCGCCAGCGTTTTCGAAACCCTCACGATTCAGAGTAGAAGTAAAGTGAGTGAACCGATCTCGGAAGATTAAAACCGAAAGAGCTTGTCTACCTATTTATTACTTGTAATTTCAGATGCTTGGATGAAAGCATGATTCATCTAGGGGTATTTTTTTGCGCTGTACGCTTTATCCTATTACTTGCACTTGTACTAACATTATTTCATTTACTATTACTGCTACCTGCTACTATCAGCGAGCAATATTATAAGCTTATCCGTCTTACAATTAGTTATAGTTCCAGAGAATAAGTAGTGCTCTTCGTTGTTGCACCTGAACGAACACCTACTCTAATGAAGAGGAAAGGCTCAGAGAGTCATTACGCTCTCTTCAATATTTCTCAAACATTAGTTGAGTAAAAGGTAAAAAATCGAGCGGAAAACGTGAATTGAAAAAGAGAACGAGAAAAGCAGTTGCTCCGAAAGGATCTCCTCATTAATAAGTTCTTCGAATTGAAGATACTGCATCAATAATCTTTAATTCGAAGAATTATGCTGTACTCCCTACCAGTTTTGCTTTTGAGCGGTTATGGGCCCTAAGTAATGAGTAATATTTATATGTAATATTGCGATATAATGCATCAATTTACCATAATGACTGCATTGCGCTTTTTTTCTCAAACCTTTATTTTCTCTATTCATATGATCTTTTCATTTGTTATGCCTCAACATCAATTAATGTCGAGAGGAAGGGAACATGACTTCTTGCTCCCTCTTTTAATTAGAACCCCGCCGAGTACGAAAAAACCCTGATTAATTTGGTTGCATACCAGTATTCCCCACCCTGAAATTATTCTCCACCTCTCGTTGGCTAAGGGGGGGGGGGGGGGGGGANTAAGGGGGGGGGGGGGACGGAACAGTTGGACATGGGATTGTGCCGACATACATCAAAAGGTGATAGGTAACTTTGAATGTGGTTACCTAGTCAATAGAGCCGGGTATTTAGACGCACCTAAGCATCCCTTGTCCCACTCCATCCTCGAAATACGGAGGTTTTCTTTCGAATGCTCGTTGTTGCTGGTGTAAGAGAAACATTGTGGTACTTATAGAAGTTAGTGCTCTAACCATCAGTTGCCGTCATTAGTAGGTTTTCTCGGTCAGCTGGTGGTAAGTGATGGGTGAAGTCGCTGGTATTTTTGGTTGATGCTCACCATTATAGCTTTTCAATCTCAAAGAATAATGAGCATCTAATTGCCTTCCAGGTATGGGGAGAAAGCGGGGGACGGTACGAACGTGCGTCCGAGGATGCGCGCGGCAACTTGCGCGGCAAAGTTCTTGATGATTTGTACGACTCCGACGCCAATTTTCACACTCAAACACAAACTCAAAGTAGAGTAGTAAGTAGAGTCAGATAATCCTTTGGACTACTCTACTTCCAATTTGGGCCCCAATGATAGGCGCCAAAGTCGTTCAAACCGTTACGAACTTCGCCGCGCAATTTGCCGCGCGCATTCTCGGACGCACGTTCGTACACATACCCGGAGAAAGCTTGTGTAAAGGTAGATTATGTGACTAAACAACTTTTGTTCCAGCTGACGAGGAGACCACGAGCAGTGATGAGGAGGATGATCCAGAGTTGCGAGAACTAGAAGAAAGGGACAATATCGTGTTGAAATATGAGAAGGTATGATTGCCCTTTTTCTTTCTTTTTTTTTTGAAGTTCGTGGGCATAGTGCGAATTACAAATACGTAGACTTTGATGGATATATGCGGTAGTCCGGTACGTAGTATATATGTGGAAAATTCCCTAATATTTTAATAGTTGCAATCGGAATTATTCACAATAGCAGACTACATGGTGTACACATATCAAAATGCTAAGTGAAAGCAAATCCCGGGATTCAATGAAATAATTCTCACAAACTCATAATGCTTGAAGGGTCCCGAGCAAAAAGACATTGATCCGTGGGAGAATCCAGAATTTGATGTGTACGCCAAGATGGATCGTTTCGGTTTCGTTCAGTGAGTTATTTTCGGCTTGCTATTCTTATAAGATCAGCTTATAGTGGTTCCTTTCACCAAAGCTTCTCTATATTTACAGCAAAGATCCAAATGAAGCCACTGAGGAAGAGAGTGCAAATCGACGCCGCATAGCCAAAGAGGTGAAACGAGAGAATAAGTGGTTGGTTATGGATCAGGTATGCGTTTCTTTTTTTTTTCTTGCGTTTTTCTATTTATATGTGTTTCAATTATTGACGATTATTTTGTATGATCAATAAGTGAGCAAGAAAGAAAAGGTTTTACAATCTTCTTTCATTTTACTTCATTTTACTTTATCGAAGCTTTTACGCTGAAATTCTTGAAAAAAGACAGCTTTGAGTGTACGTAGATATCGTTTTTGAATTTTACTTAGTTGCCAAGTTTTATTTTCTTATTCCTACTTTTCCAGAGTTGAGTTTCGAATGATGCTCGCGTTAGCTATGTATGTGTACCTCCCGTAAAATTTTGCGCGTTTGCAGTGAGGAGTGTTAAATAGTAAGTAGAAGGTGGAACTGGGGCAGATAATGAGATCTCTTTCATTCTTCAAAGGAATTGTGTAGTCATCAGACTCTCGACCTGCTAATCAACTTCTATATTGGAACATAACCTAGTGATTTTTTCACTACATTACTTCACAGTGTCGGCGAATAACGAGTTGGTGGTTTGATTAGATATCCTACCTCAGAATCTTGTTACTAAGAGACCTTTTGAATCTCGTTTGCATACGTGCGGTCTTTACGTTAGCTCCTCCACGGGAGTCATGAATCTTTCCTAATTTTATTTTACCTTTGTTTCTGCAGCCTAAAAGCTAATCTTTTGCATGGAACGGAGGTCAAATTTGAGCCATTTTTTCTTGTTTGTGATGCCTAGAAATCGTCCCAACTTTGTGGCACGAATTGGGCAGAGTATCGAATTTAAGGGGGAGAACAAGATGTGATGAGCCGGGCTGTTAGTTGCTGTGAGCATAGCTCGGATATATGATTTGTATGTTCGTGAAAGACAAGTTCACGTAGCAGAGGACATTCCACCCTAACTTTTTTGTATCAATTTTTTCTCTTACTTGATGAGGAATAGGTAATTCCAGCATAGGTGGAAAACTCAACTCTCTTCCAATGTGGCGGATTGCTCTGTTCCTTTTCGTTGGTAAAGCCTGATGGAGTCAAGTAAAGAAACTAACATTTCAGGCATGGAAAAAAGGGCGACTACCGAAGAAACTTGAAGAGCGGACTTGGAAAGGGATTCCAGAGAAGTTGCGGATAAAGGTGATGATTTATTTTTTTTTCCTTTTCTTACCTGAAGAATTTTGTTTTCTTGCTTTTTTTTGAAGTTTTGTTTGCATTGATGATTTTTTGCTTTCTTGGGCATTGTCATTTTTGAAGAAATAAATCGGAACCTTTTTCTACTTCCTGCATTCCCTCAGTTCTGAATCAGAGAATCAGATTGGACGTGCAGGGGTTATCGCCCGCCACCTAGTAAAAGAGAAAATATGTTGAGCCAGATAATGGTAAACACATTTTTGAATGGAAGATCGTGATCACATGTGGAAGTTGATTACGATAAAAAGCTGGCTCTTCCAGGTTTGGCCACGTCTTCTCGGTGCTTATGAGCTGAAGGAGGCTCGACCAAATCTCTATCAGGAGCTTTTGAAAAGAGCTTTACTTGTGTCAAAGGATATCAAACAAATCGATTTGGACATCAATAGGACTTATCGGGATCACTTAGCATTTCGAAGACGCTACGACGTAAAGTAAGCAATAGGCTTGCAATTAGATCCGAGTATGACATCAGGTGTCTCTAAGATTCATGTCTCTTTCACGCTTGTTTCAGGCAGCAATCCCTATTGAATGTTCTTGCTGCTTACGCTATGTACAATACAGAAGTCGGATATTGCCAAGGTACGGAATGATACGTTAATATCAAATATCCCTTTGGTTTCCTTGTTGGTATTTCCTTTCGATCTTTTCCTTTGCTTTGAAATCATATACATAATTTTAACTAGATTTTTAAGTTCTGCCTTGAATGAGGTCAGACTTTCAAAAGGTAGCTGCAGGTTTGCGGGTTAAAAACATGATCAGCTTACTATGACACTTACCTCGGGCACTTTCGATAGAATCGAGAGGAGTTTGTAATTTCCCGTACATTTTTTTTGATTCATAAAAGTTTCAAGTGATTGTCAAAGTTTCTAGCGCTTATTAATGCTTATATCACCTAAAATTCACACACCGTTTTCCTAAACGGGCTTTTCCCAAGCAAATGTATTGGAATTGGTTGTGAGATACCTTCTGGAGAATGTCTTAGTCTTATGCATTACAGTATTAGCTCCTTTTTGTTACTCTTTGTCCTGGTTCTAATAGATCGATGGCTTTTTCATGACTTCTATTCTTCCGGGTCCGTTAATTTGCACCAAAGGAGTACTGTACAAATATATGGGCTCCGGAGGGATGGAAGACATGGTCTGATCGAGTACCTGACCGAGATTCGAACCGCAAACCATGCCTGTGTGATATTACGACATTTGTCGCTACAACACATCCGCTTAAAGAATTTTATAATTTAAAGTTTTTTCGACTTTCCTGCTGGCGACTTCCATGATGCTTGGTTTGAAACCTATTCATTCGCTTCATATTTCAGGAATGAGCCAGATAGCTGCTTTATTTCTGATGTACCTGGACGAGGAAGACACGTTTTGGTGTATTCATGCATTGATGGTCGGGAAGAGACATACCATGCATGGTTTCTTTTCCGTTTTATTTTATTCAAAATTTAGTACGTGTGCCATCTTTTTGACATCTTGATCGCTCATTTCCAGGTTTCTTTGTTCCTGGTTTTCCAAAGTTATCACGTTTTGAGGCTCATTTTAAGAAAATATTGAAGAAGTATAGACCACGGGTATACAAGCACCTAGTGAGTTTTCCGTTCTCAACCATTTTTGCTGCAAATTTGAAAGACTTCGATCGAGAGATGTGCTTTAAGGAGAAGAGCGACATTCCATACATTTATCTTACCAAGTGGTGGTTTGGTTGTTTTCTAGATCGAGTTCCTTTTTCGTTAGCGTTGAGGTGCGCCTGAAGTATTTTTGATTTTTTAATCCATTTCTCTTATTTGTGACTTTTTTCTTCTTTTTGCCTATTATGACACGACGGTAGACTGGGCCCAAATTTTACAATAGGTGCATATGGATAGTTTATATGAAAGATAATTCTTTATGCCAAATACGTTTAAGATGATAATGGGCAGGGAGAAACCATCCTCTCTCTGTTCTCCTCTGTCTCCGATACATTGCATTCAATTTTATTTATTTATTTATTTATTTATTTCTATCTGTCCAACGCTATAACAAGCTAAC